GTGAGGGAGGAGGGCAGTTGGAAGGAGGGGCAGGGGTGAGGGAGGGAGGGCAGGTAGGAGGTAGGGGTGAGGGAGGGAGGGCAGAAGGTAGGGAGGTAGGGTGAGGAGGAGGGCAGCAGGTAGGGGAGGTAGGGGTGAGGAGGGGGCAGTAGGTAGGAGGTAGGGGTGAGGGAGGAGGGCAGGTAGGAGGGGTAGGGGGAGGAGGGGGGCAGTAGGTAGGAGGTAGGGGAGGGAGGAGGCAGTAGGTAGGGAGTGAGGGGAGGAGGGCAGTAGGTAGGGGTAGGGGGTGAGGAGGAGGGCAGGAGGTAGGAGGCAGGGGGAGGAGGGAGGGCAGTAGGTAAGGAGGTAGGGGTGAGGAGGAGCAGTAGGTAGGGAGGTAGAGGGAGGAGGAGGCAGTAGGTAGGGAGGTAGGGGTGGGGAGGGAGGGCAGCAGGTAGGAGGTAGGGTGAGGGAGGAAGGGCCAGTAGGTAGGGGAGGTAGGGATGAGGGAGGAGGGCAGTAGGAGGGAGGGGGGTGAGGGAGGGACAGTAGGTAGGAGGTAGGGGTGAGGGAGGGGGGCAGAGGTAGGAGGTAGGGGTGAGGGAGGGAGGGGCAGCAGGTAGGAGGTAGGGTTGAGGGAGGGAGGGCAGTAGGTAGGAGGTAGGGGTGAGGAGGGAGGCAGGGGGAGGTAGGAGGAGGAGAGGGGCAGTAGGTAGGAGGTAGGGGTGAGGGAGAGAGGGCAGTAGGTAGGGAGGTAGGGGGGAGGGGAGGGAGGGGCAGTAGGTAAGGAGGTAGGGGTGAGGGAGGGAGGGGCAGTAGGTAGGGAGGAGAGGGAGGGAGGGCAGTAGGTAGGAGGAAGAGGGAGGGAGGCAGTAGGTAGGGAGGTAGGGGTGAGGGAGGGAGCAGGGTAGGGGAGGTAGGAGGTGAGGAGGAGGCAGAGGGGAGGTAGGGGTGAGGGAGGGAGGGCAGTAGGTAGGGAGGTAGGGGTGAGGAGGAAGGCAGTAGGTAGGAGGTAGGGGAGGAGGAGGAGGCAGTAGGCAGGGAGGTAGGGGAGGGAGGAGCAGAAGGTAGGGAGGTAGGAGGAGGGGGCAGAGGTAGGGAGGTAGGGGTGAGGGGAGGGAGGGGCAGGTAGGGGAGGTAGGGGGAGAGGAGGGAGGGCAGTAGGTAAAGGAGGGGTGAGGGAGGGAGGGCAGGTAGGGGAGGTAGAGGGAGGGAGAGGGGCAGTAGGTAGGGGAGGGGTGAGGGAGAGAGGGGCAGGAGGAGGAAGGTGAGGGAGGGAGGGGCAGTAGGTAAGGAGGTAGGGGGAGGGAGGGAGGCAGAGGAGGGAGGTAGGGGGAGGGAGGAGGGCAGTGGTAGGAGGTAGGGGTGAGGGAGGGAGGCAGTAGGTAGGGGAGGTAGGGGTGGAGGAGGGAGGCCAAGGTAGGAGGTAGGGGTGAGGGAGGGGCAGTAGGTAGGGAGGCAGGGTGAGGGAGGAGGCAGTAGGTAGGAGGCAGGGTGAGGAGGGAGGGCAGCAGGTAGGAAGGCAGGAGGGAGGGGAGCAGGCAGGGGAGGGTAGAGGGAGGGCAGCAGGTAGGAGGTAGGGGTGAGGGAGGGAGGGGCAGGTAGGGAGGAGGGAGGGGAGGGCAGCAGGTAGGAGGTAGGGGTGAGGGGAGTAGAGGTAGGGGGAGGGAGGGGGGAGGTAGGTGAGGGAGGAGGGGCAGTAGGTAGGGAGGTAGGGTGAGGGAGGGGGGGTAGAGAGGTAGGGTGAGGGGAGGAGGAGCAGTAAGGGAGGTAGGGGTGAGGGAGGGAGGGCAGTAGGTAGGGAGGTAGGGGTGAGGAGGGAGGAGCAGGAGGGGAGGTAGGGGTGAGGGGAGGAGGGCAGTAGGTAGGGGAGGTAGGGGTGGGGGAGGAGGCAGTAGGTAGGAGTAGGGTGAGGGAGGGAGGCAGGTAGGGGAGGTAGGAGGTGAGGAGGGAGGCTGTAGGTAGGGAGGTAGGGGTGAGGGGAGGAGCAGGCAGGCAGGGGAGGTAGGGGTGAGGGAGGGAGGGCAGAGGTAGGGGAGGTAAGGGGGAGGGAGGGCAGGTAGGGAGGGGGTAATGGAGGGAGGGGCTGTAGGTAGGGAGGTAGGGGTGAGGGAGGAGGGCAGTAGGAAGGGAGGTAGGGGTGGAGGGGAGGAGGGCAGTAGGGAGGAGGTAGGGGTGAGGGAGGGAGGGCAGTAGGTAGGGAGGCAGGGGAGGGGAGGGAGGGAGGCAGGTAGGGGAGGTAGGGGTGAGGGAGGGGGGGGAGAGGCAGGGTAGGTGAGGGAGGGCAGGTAGGAGGAGGGGAGGGAGGGGCAGTAGGTAGGAAGGGGTGAGGGAGGGAAGGCAGTAGGTAGGGAGGTAGGTGGAGGGAGGGGGCAGAGGTAGGGAGGTAGGGGTGAGGAGGAGGGCAGTAGGTAGGAGGTAGGGTGAGGAGGAGGGCAGTAGGAGGAGGTGGGGAATGAGGGAGGGGCAGCAGGAGGAGAGTAGGGGTGAGGGAGGGAGGGCAGTAGATGGGAGGTAGGGGTGAGGAGGGAGGGCAGAGGTAGGAGGTAGGGTGAGGGAGGGAGGGCGTAGAGGTAGGGGAGGGAGGAGGCAGTAGGTAGGAGGTAGGGGTGAGGGAGGGGGGCAGTAGGTAGGAGGTAGGGGTGAGGGAGGAGGGCAGAGGTAGGAGGTAGGGGTGAGGGAGGGGGCAGTAGGCAGGGAGTTAGGGGTGAGGGAGGGAGGGCAGTAGGTAGGAGGCAGGTGTGAGGGAGGGGGGCAGCTAGGAGGTAGGGGTGAGGGATGGAGGGCAGGTAGGAGTTAGGGGTGAGGGAGGGAGGGCAGTAGGGTACGGGAGGTAGGGGTGAGGGAGGGGGGCTGTAGGTAGGGAGGTAGGTGAGGAGGGGGGGGCAGTAGGTAGGGAGGTAGGGGTGAGGAGGGAGGGCAGTAGGTAGGAGGTAGGGGTGAGGGAGGGAGGGCAGTACTAGGTAGGTAGGGGTGAGGGAGGGCAGTAGGTAGGGAGGTAGGGTGAGGGAGGGAGGGCAGCAGGTAGGAGGTAGGGGTGAGGGAGGGAGGGCAGTAGGTAGGGAGGTAGGGTGAGGGAGGGGGGCAGGTAGGGAGGTGAGAGGTGAGGGAGGGGGCAGTAGGCAGGAGGTAGGGTGAGGGAGGGGCAGCAGGTAGGGGAGGTAGGAGGGAGGGTGGGGCAGTAGGTAGGGAGGTAGGGTGGGGGAGGGGGAGGGCAGAGTAGGAGGTAGGGGAGGGAGGGGCAGTAGGTAGAGAGGCAGTAGGGTGAGGGAGGGAGGGCAGTAGGTAAGGAGGTAGGGGTGAGGGAGGGGAGAAGTAGGAGGTAGGGGTGAGGGAGGGAGGCAGGTAGGGGTGAGAGAGGGAGGGCAGGTAGGAGGTAGGGGTGAGGGAGGGAGCAGTAGGTAGGGTGAGGAGGAGGGCAGTAGGTAGAGGTAGGGGTGAGGGAGGGGAGCAGTAGGTAGGAGGGAGTTAGGGTGAGGGAGGGGGGGCAGTAGGTAGGAGGTAGGGGGTGAGGGAGGGAGGGCAGGTAGGGAGGTGAAGAGGGAGGGAGCAGTAGGTAGGGGAGGTAGGGGTGAGGGAGGGGGGTAGGGTAGGAGGTAGGGGTGAGGGAGGGAGGGCAGAGGTAGGAGGTAGGGTGAGTGAGGAAGAGGCAGTAGGTAAGGAGGTAGGGGTGAGGGAGGGGAGCAGTAGGTAGGAGGTAGGGTGAGGGAGGGAGGGCTGTAGGAGGGAGGTAGGGGTGAGGGAGGGGAGGGCAGTAGGTAGGAGGTAGGGTGAGGGAGGAAGGGCCAGTAGGTAGGAGGTCGGGATGAGGAGGGAGGGCTGTAGGTAGGGAGGTAGGGGTGAGGGAGGGAGCAGTAGGTAGGGAGGAGGGGTGAGGAGGGGGCAGTACGTAGGAGGTAGGGGTGAGGGAGGGAGGGGCAGCAGGTAGGGAGGTAGGGGTGAGTGAGGGAGGGGCAGAGGTAAGGAGGTAGGGGTGAGGGAGGGAGGGGCAGCAGAAGGGAGGTAGGGTGAGGGAGAGGGCAGAGTAGGAGGTAAGGGTGAGGGAGAGGGGCAGGTAGGGAGGTAGTGGTGAGGGAGGGAGGGCAGTAGGTAAGGAGGTAGGGGTGAGGGAGGAGGGGCAGCAGGTAGGGAGGTCGGGGTGAGGGAGGAGGGGCCGTAGGTGAGGGTGAGGAGGGAAGGCAGTAAGTAGGAGGAGGGGTGAGGGAGGGAGGAGCAGTAGGTAGGGTGGTAGGGGTGAGGAGGGCAGTAGGTTGGGAGGTTGGGGTGAGAGAGGAGGGCAGTCGGTCGGTGGTGTAGAACATTTTCGTCCCTCCCGCTGCCAAGGTTGAGTGGTACGAATTCACCGACCAGCGCTTGAGAGTGAAACTTGGGCACTCACGGTCCAAAGTAGTAGGGTCGAAGGTTCACACTGAGGTCACCGCTTGAGGGCCCTTTAAACGACGCCAATGGAATGTAAGTAAATAAACAAACAATAAAATAATCGTAAATAATCTAAAAGAACGTAAGGGAGACAGAATGTGAACGTCTCCTTAACAATTACCTTCATTAACTTTATACCTTTGTTGGCCACACTATTATCACCCAATATTGACCTTTTGTTAACACATACATAACCTACAGTGTTAATAGCATCACAGAGACCATCTACACTGACGGCTCTTGAGACACTGTCTGTGGGAGGCAGGGCTACCTTCTTGTACTGTGATTGGTTACCTTCTTGTACTGTGATTGGTTACCTTCTTGTACTGTGATTGGTTACCGTTCGACGCCACAAAACCATTTTATTTTTGTCAATACAGAAAATGTGATAATGTACACAGTAAACTAATGAAAAAATACGATTTACTTTAGTATTTTTATCTCTTATAGTTTAAGGTAGAAATCAATAATGTTTATTTCTTATGAGAGAACTGTCATATACTGTATACTATATATATATACATATATATACGCATGTTATGCAGATGCAATATTTAACACATCCTGACTTGGCTTATTTTTTACTTCCACCCTGTGCTCACACCTAAGACAGGCCGGGACACTTGTAACAGAATCTAATTTTTGACCATTGCGGGTCTTCGACTTCATCAAATTTAGTTTAAGAGAATTATTCTCCTCATCAGTATTATATGAACCTGCAGAGCAAATTGTGAAAAAGTTTAAGAAATTTTTATTGCCAACATTATCCTCAAAGTCTATGAGTTTCGTGTAAAACTATAATATCGCAATTTGTATATTTAATATCGTGAGGTAACGTGCACCAGTCCCAAGACCGCCATTCATCATCTAGCATATGAATATCTCCAAGTATGCGGGGTACTTCCTTAAGGCGAGCATCCCATTAAGGAGATTATAAATATGAGTCCGAAGAAGGATGTAGTACAAAACACAGCAAAATGGAGGACTAAGGAAGACGTTCGTTATAAAGTATTTGATACTGAATAATCACTTTACTGTGGAGGTACAGTACAATAGTTCCATTGCAGGAGTTCACAATAAGACAAAACCTGAGATAGTTATCCTCCCTACCAAGAAGAACATGTTCTTAGAAAAGAAGAAAATATGTATATATTTGATGGATAACCTTCTATTTATTATGAAGAATTATAGAATACTAATAATTCCTTATAAATATTGAACAATCAAATATTAACTTACCGCAACTCTGATGGTTATTTAAAGATACTTGGTTTTCAAGCTCAACGGAATAAGGCATCAGGAAATAACTGTACTGTACAAGGACAGAAGGACCTTCTTTGTGTTTGGCTTCACCATTTCGGTTACTTTCACGTCACAGACTGACAAAGTTTTATTTCACATTTTATTTGATATGGGTATAAATAAAACACATTGAAATTTATTTTACAAATATTTATTCATTGTCGGCCTAGAAATTAGCCAAATATATAAAATCGTGATTTCCGTATCTCCGAAGATTGACGTCACGGCGTCAAACACGTGCATAGAACCTGAACAAACAAATCCATAGGTTGGGCATGTTAGGCCACGTACTATAAGGTTCTATGCATTGTCGTTTCCATTTTGTGTTTAGTATCATGATAATAGTGTGCAGTAAAAATTTAAACCAATTCGATAATTCCTTCTGGTGGTCACCCTCTTCAGCACCTTAACCGTACTTTGTAACACTGA